ATGGAGTTATGTGTTCGTGTCTCATAAGTCACAAACATTATGAATAACATTAAAAATTACTTATTCAAACTTTTATTCATTGCAAATATATTAAAACAGTTTATATAACAACCATTAAATACCACTTTCAATATATTTATAAATAAAAAGTACATAAAATTTTTGGTGTGTTCAAAATTAATAATTTTTTATGGGCTCAATTTTAAATCATTCTGACATTTGGTCAAACACATAGGTGTGTTCAAATTTAAATCATTGGTATTTTGGTCGGTTAAAATTTAAATCATCTACCATGGTACTGTGATATGTATTATATATATATATATATATATATAATTTTTTAACAAATAATATGTGCTTTATAAAAATAATAATAATAATTTCACAAGATTTTAAACGTAAAATTTGGTTTTTAATCACAATATAAAAATCATGGTAAGTTGTATTGAAAAGGTGTTATAAGAAAAAATAAACTAAAATAATTAAATAAAATACTACTAATTCTAGTAAATAGAATGTCTTTTTACATAAGTATAGATTAGCCATTATTTTCATATATATTTTCTAGCTTAGATACCTCTTCATTCCCTTATTAAGCATAGATAGATACCAACAAAGTTTGGGTATATTTGTCTAAAGCAAAGTTAATAATTTTCAGAATCTTTGAAAATGAAAAGTTAATAAGTTTTAATTAGTATATTCAAAATTCATATCATTGTTGCTTTTGAAGAATTCTTGCTTAGGCAAACGATAGAAGTGATGAGTGTAGTTTAAGACCATAACTTAAATAATTGAAATTTAAAGTAACCAATTGAATTTATAGTCTTTATCATCATTTAATGGCTCCAAGATCCATTTTGCTGGAATTTCTAATTCACAATCAACCATAAATAATTCACTTCTAAAATCTAATCCAATATTCTTCCAAATATAAAAATGAAAATAATTGAAAGTCACCCGAATAAAACAAACAGAAATTCTATAGTGCCACATGTGGCACGTGTTATGGTGCCACAACATGATGTGACACATTATGATTGGTGC